GCTGAACCCAAAGAACCTTAATCTTGATTTAAAGAAAAAAAGATAACTATCACACAAAGTAAGACTAAAAAAGCAATGCTCAATTTGGAAATATTTTAGGAAACTCATAGTCTTACACATTACTGGAGTACAGTGATGAATATAAACTCAGGATGGCCTGGCAAAAGATCCATGGCTCTTTCACCTGAGTATAGATGAGTTAAAGACGTTTAGCTCAGGGATCAGCAGTTAGCGTAATGGCTATGTCACTGAACTCCCATGTAGTCAACAGCGATTCAAGTCCTGGACCCAGTGGCTTAAACTCACACTGGGCGCGTGTGCATGTGTGCCCAAGATCCCGAGAGGAAAATGGAGGAGAAGGGATTGCAGAGTGGCCATCCCCCCTGGGGGGTGATTTCTCGCTTTCTGTCTCTCTGTCTCTCTCTGTCTGTCTGGCGAGCGCATGCACCCAATAGCAAAAACCTCTCCAAAAAAAAAAAAAAAAAAGATGTCTATCTCTAAAATGCTCCAAACAATCTAATGTACAAAAATGGAGAACTGAGTCATTAACTTAATGTAGGCACAGAGAAGTCAACTATACCACCATGGAACAGGAAGTGTCAGAGCACATATGAATTTGTCAAAACACAAAGCACCACAGACAGAGATACCAAATAATAATAATAGCAAGCATGAACTTCAAAGAGGTTTTTAATGCATTAATGAATTGAACCCTCACTAAAGCTTTCTTTAACTTCTAGACATATTCTATTGGATCCCTACATCGAAGTATGAAACTCCTTCTTCCTTTACAAAATGTAATTAATTGTTCTAACAAAAACAAGATTTCGTTTATATCCACATGTTTTTTTAACAAAAGATTTAATGTAAAGATTTCTTCTTTTTTTAAAGCATTATTTTATTGAACGTTACTGGCGCAATGGCTATGTCGTTGGACTCCCATGTAGTCCACCGCGGTTCGAGTCCCAGACTCAGTGGCTTAAACTTATGCCGGGCATGTGTGCGTGCGTGCCCAAGATCCCAAGAGGAGAATGGAGGAGAAGGGGTTGCGGTTTGGCCATCCACCCAGGAGGTGATTTCTTGCTTTCTGTCTCTCTGTCTCTCTCTGTCTTTCTGAAAAGCGCACGAGCCTTGTAGCAAAAACCTCTCCAAAAAAATAAATAAATAAATATATATATATATTCATCTCTCAGCATGCCCATAGCCCCTTCACATAATGCCCTTCTCCACATCACACCTATTCCCCTGGCTCTCAGTGCGTGCAGTCATTTTAGGGACAACCTCTCCATCCTGGACACGGGAGACCTTTGTCTACCGCCTCCACTTGTGCAAGGCTCATCTCCCCCCAGAACTGTGGTCTCCTGCAAAGCATGGCCTCATCCTGGCTTATATGAGGTACGAAGGAAATATATGAAGAATAAATAATAATGAAGTGAAGTAAGGATTGTGGCTCAGGTGAGGATCCTCTGAATCTATGAAGCTGTTCCTATGATCTGTACAAGAACCAGAAGTTCTAAGCTCCCAAATTACACTGCTAATCTAAGGACTAACAGAAATGAATGAGAAACCGCCCACAGCACTCCTTAAGTGTTCCAGGTATGCGGACCTCACCCCGTGAGCTCTCCAGGATGGCTCCAATTTAACCTCATCCTTTTCCAAACGGATCAATATATGTCAAATGTACCATAATGATCAAACACGTATAAAATGACCCATCGACAATTAAGGAGTCAGCCAACTTCATCTCTGGTCCACTTAAAAGCTGGTCTACAAGTGCCACACCCAGAGTTTCCAGCTTGACAAAGAGACATAGTATGTGCCCCGGGGGGGGGGGGGACCCAATGGCAGAAAAGGATGACAGCCCTCCCCAGGCAGGGGCAAGCCTGCTCAGTGGGTTGTGCAAGACCTTGATTCTAAATCCACCTTCCCACAAAGGTGTTCATCAGCATTTTAATGCAGACCACATTTTCTGCTAACTCAGGTCTCTAAGAGCTCAAAGATCAGAAATAAGCAAGCAGGGAGAGGCATTCAGTCAGACTCAAGATCCCTGAGACTACCCAGTATGCAGGCCCAGACAATGCCCAAACATCATCTAGAGGAAGGGAGAAGGAGCAAGACTCTGGGCTTTCTTGCTGCTGAGACACTGAGGGGGGTGGGGAGGGGGTGTAGGTCTCCCTGGCTTCCTCCTCTGTGGACCTGTAATACTCACACCTCAGATGGCTGATGGGACTATTGACACGGACACAAAGAAAGTACCCAGCTCAGTGCCTTGCCAACTCCCAAACATCTGTCACCCTCCTCAGAGTTATTCATTGAGGGGCCGGCAGGTGGCGTGATAGTTAAGGGCTCTGGACTCCCACATGGCCCAGACCTGGTGGTTTGCTTTCTCCCTTTCCCTCGCCCTCTCTCTCTGTCTCTCTGGTCAAATTAAAATAAAATAAAGGAATAAATGAAGTTAAATTAAAATATTCTCTTTTTTTTTAGAGAGGTTTTTGCTATAGGGCGTGTGCACTCACCAGAAAGACAGAGAGAGACAGAGAGACAGAAAGCGAGAAATCACCTCACGGGAAGGATGGCCACACCACAATCCCTTCTCCTCCATTCTCCTCCTGGGATCTTGGGCACACACGCACACACGCCTGGTGTGAGTTTAAGCTACCGGATTCGAGATTCGAACTGTGGTCGACTACATGGGAGTCCAGCGACACAGCCATTATGCCAAATGCTGGTCCTAATAAAATAATTCTTAAAAAAAAAATAAAAGAATTATTCATTGATTGTCTAAGAGAAGCGGCCTTTGAACGCTCCTAAAATTGCACACTTTTCAACACCAGTGTTCCGTGAGACAGTGCCCATCTGTAAAACCTTCGCGATATCAACTTTTCTGAAAAGCTCGTGGTGTGGCCGGCCACTGTGTCAAGCATTGTGGAAGCTCTAACTTCCACTGCCCACAGCGGCAACCTGCCTCAGCAGGCTCCCGTTACTAGCCCTGTTTTACAGTGGAGGAAATAAATGCTCAGAGAGGTCCAGAAACTCTCCGAAGGTCACAGAGCCAGGAACATGGGGACGTCGGGTCTGACTTGAGACAAAAGATGGGAGTTCAATGCAAAATGATCCCTGGCACTTCCAGGCTTGACTTGCTTGGTGCCCACCCCTCTCTCTGACATCCACGGGCATTTTGTGAGTCCCGGACCCCAGAACAAAGCGACTGCCGCCCTGGATGCTCTCTGGCTCCCGTGAACC